GGATGCTTAATTTTGTAAGAATGTAGGAGAATATCTAAACTGATAATTAGCGAAAGTTACCTTTTCAGACCATTTCTCTGAACCAACTTAATGTTTGCAGAAGTCTTAGAAAAAATATAATTATTGAGAATCAATTTACTAATAGCATAATCCCCTTTAAAACGAAATTGATAATTTTTTTGGCCTGCATTCCGGGGATTTCCTTACGAGTTTCGCTTACCTGAATCACAAACTTACTTGCTGTCCTTGGCGGCTTGAAATTACCCTTTCCACCTCGAAAAAACGCCCGCCATCCACCGTACATCTCCTTGCCTTCAATTCTCTACAAATGTTAGCAACAGTAACGTTATTTAAATCCGCGAAAAAGCCGATGGATCTCTTCCCTCGCGTCCGACTTGACGGAGTTGACGCCATGTTGTTCAGAAGTCACGCTTAAGAGCGTGTTGCTTCCCAGCCAACGGCGTACACGGATTTAACTTCTGTGATTGGCAGGTCAAGTCACGCTCCAATCTTCCCATGTCCGAGATTTCTAGCCATGCCATTGCAGTGAAAAAATCGAAAGACTTTTACCTCGTTTAAAGAAGGTAAAAGTTTTGTTTTTCGCGGGAAGAAAGCAGGAAACATTGAGTGGGCTAGGTAAGCCAATCAGATTCCAGGATACGCTTCATCTTCGCTGCTTCTTTTCAGCTCTGAGATTCTTTTCTCCCACAATACGATTCGCTTGTGAGTTTTCATAATGATTAATTCGCAATGTAATGTGCTTGTAAAATAGCGGGAGCAATTCGGGTTTTTTTCGATTTTCTAAGGGCCGGGTATTCCGATCTTTTCTGTAGTTCTACGTAAGATGTTCCAATGTGTAACGGGTTTCCCAGGTATAGTTTGGAGTTTCCTTTTTCCTGCTGTCTCAGTCGGAATTGACTTTAGCAGCCCTGTCAAGAAATATCGCATTTCATATAGTGCTCCTGCAGTCCCGTGCTTCCGAAGTCGACGAATAATGAAAAGAGAGGGCAGTTAAACTAGTTTTCCCGCAGTCCCGCGCTCCCGATGGCAAAGAATAATTAAAAGATTAGGCAGCTAAACAAGTGCTCCCGCAGTCCCGTACTCCCAATGTCGCTTCGATTGAAGAACGAAGATTATATATTTGAAATTGTCGGCTCACTCGCCAGTGAAGTCGAAATGCGCAGTGATATCCAATTTGAATTATTTTGAAGAACGAGGAATTAAGATATGACTTTTAATTACAATTTGAATTTCGGTTTACTGAAAAATTTCGGTTAACTGTCCACAGTTACCAGACTAGATCTGTTACCAATGAAAATTATTATGTTGAACAACTTAGAACTGAAAATATGAAGAGAGCCTTCTCTATTTCTGGCACCTTGATCTGGAACAGTATCCCACTTCCTATCAAAACACTTTAAAAGAAAATCAATTTAAAAGCGCAATAAAGGAAAAACTCTTTGAAATTCTGAAAAAAGAGGATGATTATATAAGAATTGCTGATATTAGAGTACAATTCTCAAAATTATAACTGTGTGTACTTCCAGTATATACTACAGTCTGTCCTCCTGTTTCATTCTGTCTGTAAGCCACACGGCAAACTAGATTGTTCGTCTATATTTTATAATTATACATATAAATATTCATTTTCTATAGAATTCTTTTCTTTTCTTTATTTTCCTCTCTTGTGCCCGCCTCGAATAGCCCTAGCTACTTGCGGGCCAAGGCATTGTAATTTTCCGTATTAAGCTTAAATAAATTTTGTTGTCGTTGTTGTCGAACGAAGAATGTATATTTGAATGAGTGGATTCTATTTATTTGGCGCCTTCGGGAATGCGGGCGCAGCTATTTAAAGACATATTAAGTGGCCGGGTATTCTGAAGTTTGGCCGAAATGTCGGCCGCCTCAACGAATTAGCTGTAAAGAAGAAGCGCGCATTTCTAATGAGTGTCTTACCTTAAAGCCGAGACCAAAGGCATCACAACGGCCAGTCGGGGCTATACAAATATTATCAAGAACCAATAAGGACTCGAAGTAAAAACAAGCGTCAAATTTGATTGGTTGAGAGGATGGCGCGAACCTTTTTGGACCAATCCCAGGGTGAAGTAAGTTTAGCCAATCGCGAATTATTATCAATATTCAATTAAAAATTGTTCTATTAACTACAACGCTGGTCTCAAGATTCAGGTCGAGAGGCAAACTTGAATAAGCTAATGTATTCCAATGATACACGGACTAAATAATTAACCTGCCATTATATATCGCAAAAATCAATAAGTTCTATTTCATGGGATGCTTTGAACAAACTCTTAAATGAAAGTCATTTAACATAAACAGTAATTTCCTAAATGATTCTTCACTGAATCTTGTTAGAATTGGTTTATCAGTCTCTCTTGTTGTTCTACTTTGTTATTTTTTCTTCTGATTGTTTTACACCCACTTAAACTAAATTAGCATAAAAGAGAATTTCTTCTGTGTCGAGTACTCTGTATAATGAAACTAATTTGCATTTGAATTTATGGAGAGTAACACCTTTTAAATTACAGACTAAAATTCCTCCTTAATGCTCTTGCAAGTCCTCGCAATTTTTTGAGTCTTCTCGTAGTAAAGGAAATTAAAGTGTTAAGTATTTCCATGAGTATGCATATCTTTAAAAATGAATGATCATCGTAGTTTTCCATATTTTCTCACCTGGTTTTAAGGAATTCTCCACCTATTTGACATCTCAAAATTAATTTATCTTCAAAGAGCGATGGTTGGAAGAGAAAATGACAGCTTGTCTTCACAAAATTGAACCCCCTTCGCCTCAGTATTTTGTATTCACTGACACAAGAGAGGGCTAGATATTTCAGTCGAGCTGCGATACTATTGCGTACCGCTTTTAAGGTGAGGGGGTTTGGATATGATAATGCTTAAATGAGTAGTGTAGTATTGTCTGCTGTTGGTGTGACTCTTTAGCAACCATTTTGACTTGATATTAACATAAAACAACCAAATTTCAAAACTCTTTCTAAAGTCTTAGTTTGCAGAGGTTAACCAAAGGCTTACCGCTGAGTTGATTCACAAAACCCACCTTTGCATTGGCTCGTGTACGTGTTCGCATGTTTGACTTAAAATTTAAACTTATGGTTATTGGAAACTCGTTATCTTTTCTGCAATGGTTTCTTATCAAGCATTTTATCAAGCATTTTATTGATTACAATACCGTTGAAAGCATGAATTACAAAAAGTAGATATTTTAGGCTAACAAGCAATGCAAGGGTCATGACACGGGTTTGTTTGATCTCTGAAAATTCTAAGAAAAGCATTGATTAATAAGTATGCGCGTCAACAAAGAAAGCGTGCGGCAATTAATTATTAAGTATGAGGAAAGCTTATTTTCATAGCTAAAGTAACTTAATGAATGATGAAAATAGGCTGATAGAAAGATAATGTAGCCATGCAAGCGGAAAATAGCAATTCTGTGTCAAAAAGAGTTTCTTCGTGCGAAATTGTTGATTGTTTTCGTGATTTTACAAGAGTTCGTGTGCAACCTAAATCATATTTTCAAGGAGCCTTTATGCGTGGGTAGCAAGACTCAAAACTGGAATAATTAGAATTCAAAGTTGACAAGTTTTATTCATGAAATTTTTGTTTTTTTTTTCTAGAAAATTCTAAATGAAACTGTTCCCGCTAAATTCAAAGAGAAAACTTTCTAATGTCGAAGACATCAAAATTTTGTTGGACGTTTGCTTTGAAATATTATCACTTGATTCAAGAGAATTTCCTCATTTTGCTCTTTAAAGTATTAATTTTCACCCAAAGCATTTGTAAAGATTTTTTTAACAGAAAAAAAAAAAAACTTTTACACTTGTAGAAAAGTGCTTTTTAATTGCAATGGGATTTCTACGAAGAGAAGAAAAAGCTCAATTATTACAAAGGCAGCCAACGGACCGCTTAGAAAGGAAACAGACTAAATAGATCTCAATCCACCAATCAGAATACAGAGACAGCTCCTCGAGCCGCGATGAAAAACAGACCATCTGTTTGCGGGATTTGTTTGGTTTTGTCTTACTTCGCCCTGTGATTGGTCCAGAAAACTCGCGCCACTCTTTCAACCACTCAGGTTCAAAACTAAAAATAATAAAAACCTCGACTCTCGTGTTTTCTCGCGCTTCATGCAGTTTGCCTGCTTCAGTTTATATATTATTCTACGTTTTGGTTTTAGCTTTATTTTCCCTCCAGATCATGTCCTCAGTGGCCCTTGACATTATAGCTGAGACCAAAAGGCGTAGTCTAAACAGGGACACCAAACCAGACTCTCCAATCAGAGACAAGATTGAAAAGTGTACGATTCACCACGAGTCAGTATTCAAAGCGATCTGGGACTGGTTTGTCCTCGCTCTGGTGCTGTACACGTCAATTGAAATCCCGTATAAAGCGGCATTTCTCACCAAGGATGTGCAACGTAAAGGAGTATGGGAAAAAATTAACGCAGGGGAACCCCGTGAGGTGGTGAACCTTTTAGTCGACCTCATGTTCATCATTGACATACTGATAAATTTCCGGACGACTTACGTGGACAAAACATCCGACATGGTGATCAGCACGCCCAAGAAGATCGCCGTTCATTATCTGAAGTCGTGGTTTACGATAGATTTTGTGTCCGCCATACCATTTGATTACTTCATTCCGGACGAGTTTGAAGAGGTATGGAAACCAATCAGCAAAGTGCTTTAGTTAAACCGAGAACATTGATTCTAGTTGTGAGAATCTGCTTAATTGATCCTGCTGTATTTTCGTCCCTACTCTACGAAAAAGTCCTTTCCCGTAGCAATAAGAAAAAAAAACGGGAACAAAAACTTAAACATTTCATGCTGGAGTTTGGACGATAACTAGCGTAATACGATAATATTTGTTACCGAAACTTACCGACAGATTACGGTCTGCTTAAGCCTATCGACCGTCTAACAAGTTTTCTCAGGGAGTTGTTCCTCAATATTTTAAAATGCTATTACAACGAACCACATCTATAATCTGAGCTACAAAAAATTCCGTAACTGCACTATATCTAAAACAAAATAATGAATTGATAATTGCAATAAAGCTCTTGATATCGTTAAATAGCGAAGTAAAACAGCTTAACGAATCTTTTATTTCTACTGTCTCAGGCCGCTACTGTCGCAGGTCTGTTAAAAACTGCACGTCTGCTTCGTCTCGTCCGAGTCTCCCGGAAAATGGATCGTTATTCTGAATACGGCTTAGCGCTAGTTTTTCTGTTGACATCATTTTTCACTCTTGTTGCCCATTGGTTGGCCTGTATCTGGCTCGCGATTGGCAATAGAGAGGATAAAGTCCCGTATGGCTGGATTCAACTTTTGGCCGAAAGAATGAGAAAACCGATTAATGATTCAGTACCGGGAAGTGGGCCGGGGAATGGGACCCGGTATATCACAGCTCTGTACTTTGCGTTAACCAGCCTGACGAGTATCGGCTTCGGGAACGTAGCTCCTCACACTGACAATGAGAAAATATTTTCTGTTATAACGATGTTGATAGGAGGTAGGTAGAGAAGGTTTCTCTCTAGTTCCTTTGGTAACGACATTTTTCATCACACCACTTTTGGAAGCCGGTTTCCTAAAGTGAAACTGTTCCCCTCTCTAACAGATGTCATGAATTTCATGCGCCCTACAAATGACTTGTTCAAAACATCCACATGACCATCAGATCTAACAGAACGACGTAACTTTGCCAACATATCCGTATGTGACCAATCTCAATTGAAGACCGCGCCTTGCTGCTCAGCTCTGAACCTCTAGAAATAAAGACTGCCATAAAAATGTAATTCCGATAACATTTTAGCTACTTCTAGAATCTGGCTAACGTATTACTTTTTTTCAAACAGCGCTATTTTACGCGACGATCTTTGGAAACTTAACAGCCATCATACAACGTCTTTACTCCCGTTCAGCCCGATATCATCGAGATACGCGAGTCATTAAGGAATTTATCACCTTATATAACATACCAGAACCCCTCCAGGGGACCCTCCGAGAGTACTTCACTATGGAACAAACGGCAGCTAAAGGGGACGATATCGAGTCGGTAAGGAGAAGTGCTAGTATACATCAATCAATCAATCAATCAATCAATCAAGTTGGTAAGGAGAAGTGCTAGTATACATCAGTTCGAGCCTTTTTTATACATTTTTGCTAAGAGCTTATGGGGCCTTGCTTTAGAGAATTCCCAAGTATCCTCGATATCTCCTCCAGGGATCTCCATGGAAAGTTCCGTGAGGTCGTCAGCATGGCCCGAAGTGGATCCGATCTAAGATTCCCTTGAGTGGTCCTAAACATATTTGTGAGGAGATACCCCCATAGAATCTTCCTTGGCATGTCCTGAAGGAGGTTACGTTTTGGCATTATAGACGGAAGAAACCCCCCCTGAAAACTTTCACTCTATATTCTCTTCCCTCTCCCAGGGGTCTCTAAGATGGTATGACACCTCTTGGCGGGAATTGCCGCTGGTAATTTCTGCAAGGGTTTCAAGGAGCAAATCTAACAATCTCGACTTCCTTGGCTTAGATTTTTGATGGACTAACAGTCTGTCACTCAAGAAGCTTCCGATTTCATTTGACTATCTTTTGCCATCAGATCATGCATCGCTTTCCTGAATCTCTTCAAGCCGACATTAGAGTTCACCTCAACCGCCAGGTGCTCGATCATTTTGAGATTTTTCGTGGAGCAAGTGAAGGCAGCCGCCGCGCTCTCGCGACGGCATTTCGAGTCGAGATGTTTCCTCAGCATCACTTCCTGTTGAAGGAAGGCGACCAGGTTACCAAGCTTTATTTCATCGTTTCCGGCTCTGTGGAAGTCATACGGAGTCAACAAAGTATGAAGTTTTTGGGTAAGCACGGATGGCTACAGATTTCAATTCTGTCAAGGTTTAATGGGCACTGTCAAATTTTAAGCCTAGGATTAAGAAAATTTCTCAGATAAAAACAGTTTTTGATCGGTTAGCGCGGGTCCTCACAAACACCCTACATTCAAAGTCTCTTTGTTTTTTTTTTTTCTTAAAAAATCGACAACGTTTATTGGCCTCTCATTCTTCAGGTCCGGGAGAGATTGTTGGCTGTAACATGATGTCGTCTCAAAGAAGGCCTGGTCACTCTTTCAAATCTAAAGCGAGCCTGGCCTCTAGGGTTAGTTCCCAGGTCCATCTCATTGCCTGGCCAGATCTTCTGCGAATCACAAGAGTGTATCCTGAGATCAGGGAATGCATAATGGAACAGATGGAGCTATTGTACGACCTGGACTCCGGAGAAATGGTAAGAAAACAAAAAATTTACCAAAAAAGGGTCGTCTTAGATATGGCAGGGACGACAAAATCACGACAAAATTAACATCAGAAGCTTGCAGAAGGATTGCAGGTATATTATCCTACTAGCAGATCCCGATTTTTTCCCAAATTATGCTGTTTTTTGAAAATTATGCTACCTTTTCTTAATGTATGCTTAAAAATGAAAAACACAAAACTAGTCCAAAAACCACAATTATCTATTTAATGTTCATGAAGCATCATATTTTCTTTATCATGTGTTACACTCTTGCTGTCTTGATGACTCTTCTCTCGACTGAATGCTTCGGTAATGGTTTGTTCTCTCAACTTCGACATCTTAATCTTTTCTTTTCTACTGGCGTGTTTTTTGGGAGCACAGAAGGATGACAAAATGTTTTTTTTTTTGATGAAACAACTTCTCTGCAAGCACTCAAAATATCGTGTTGCCTTTAACACTCAGATGCTGACATGAAAACTGATTGATGCGATCATGTAATGGGACTTTTTTCACGTCACATGCTCTCCTGGTCTTGCATTTCCTGTTGGTTTTTTTTAAGGCTCCGATCTCTGGCAATTTGAGCGGGTTCTAGCCTCTCAAGGTGCTGGTCTCCTTCCAAGTTGCTTGACGCCATTTTATTGCCTGTGAAAGCGGGAACAGAGGCCGACACAATCTTTACTTCCGGTGTGCCCGGTCTTCCCCTCCCCCAGACGAATGAAAATAGACTGAACCATGAACAGAACTTGAAAATGATCAATCTTGGAGACCAAACAAGTCATAACTCTGGAAATGTTCCCTTCAAAAAACTGAACATATGACGATTATGCTAGCAGTGCTACTTTTAGAAAAAGTGCAAAAATTATGCTCGTTTTTCCAAATTATGCCAAAACATGCCAGCACTATCGATAGGGGCCTAATTGCAGGAATCCTATTCATAACCCTTCCTCAAATGTTTTTAATCCCACTTGACGCTTTAACGGTACATGCTAAATGGCAGGCTACGTTACAAGTCTCTATGTTTTAAGCTCTTTCCTAATGGTCAGTGTCCGCAAGTTTCAACATTTTTTTCCGGTTGATTTACAACCTACAGGACGATCAAGATTCTGCCAGGGCAGGAGACCAAAAACGAGACTATTTCGACTTACTCCAAATGGGCGCCGGTGAAAACAGTGCTCAAGTTTTAGCAATGGGAGGACGTAGATCCAGATCAAATACTGTAGGGGAATTCTCCACAACAAACGACCGAATATCAAATAGATATCAGATCGACAGAGGGCTGTTCACCACTGATGTAGATGTACCACAGTTAGAAGCAAGACTCGCACATATGGAAGATTTAATAACCAAAATTGCTAAGTCCTTAAACATAGAGGAGGGCGTGACACGAAAACGTAAGAGCCAATCAGCTAACGACTTGTTTTCGAGTACTTCGTATGTTTAACTAGGTCCCCTCCAGGACCAATTATTATTTTTCGCATGACAGGGGGGGAGGGGTTGTAGATGGTGGGGGGACTATAGAAAATTGACTTCCAAGTCGGTTCAACCATTAGAATACTACAAAACCCGGATCGAGTAACTTTTTTTTGTGACACAACTAAAATTCTTCCGGCCCCAACCCCCATCCTCCTTCTCTCCCGCTTCTCCTCCCCACCCCCCCTGCGTTAAATTGTGACTGGTCCTTTAGTCCTACGTTACAAAATGGACGTATGTAAAAATCAGACCATTTCAGATTTTGAAACTTGACTTCTGAAAGATTGCACTATGACCGTTTTTGTTTAATCCGACAGAGCTGAATAATAAAATGCTACGTCAGAGGATATACGGTCAACAACGCGGGCTCAAGTGTCCTAGGTCTAGCGAAATTTGCGAAAAATAATAAGGGCTGACTTTTGAAAATTTTTAGGGGGTGTACCAAGTTTTTGGAGGTTGTTCGAATTCTGTAAAAGAAAAGCGGCAAGGAAAACGACGCCTCGAAGCAACAGAATAGGAAATCAACCTTGCGAACGACTCAAAATCCGTGTTTCCACGGCAAAACCTAGCGCATACGTATACGTTATTTAGCTCTGTCGTTTAATCCTTAAACGCCCACGAGTCAACAAGAGAGAGTTTCTCCTTACAATGTCAATACGTGAGGAGAATAAAGAAAAATATCAACTAAGTAGTTGATCCAATACCAAATTTTCCAGAGTAATATCATAAGAATTGTAAGACAGACTGTAAGGAGAATTTCTAATGAGATCCTGGTAGTGAAAGAGTTAAGATTAAGTTGATTTTTATGATACTTTTTTCTGAGGAAGGACACAAAGAGTCATGGTAAATGGAAGACAACCTGAAAACTCAAGTCCAATCAGTTTCCTTTCTTAGAATCGGCTCTGTATGTAACTCCTTTTTTTAAAATTAAATGATGGTATAAACGTCATTTTCATGAGTCTGCACAATCAACTCAGCAGCTGAACTCTGATCAAAATTGAAACCTTAAGTCAACCACGACGGCGATGGCAACGAGGGCGTGGCCAAACAAACGGTCTTATGAGTGGAAAAATAGCTCAGCATGCGCGTCAATTTCTTGGTCTTCCTTTACAAAACAAAAATGGGAAATCACTGAGATTTGCGTAGTCTGCAAACAGAAACCTCGACGGAAAATTATTTAAGTTTCCATTTGGAACCCAACGCTACTCTCATACGTCATGCTGTAGTTGAGGCGTGGCACCCTAAGCGAGACAGTTAGGGCTTAGTTACATACAGCCATTTGCGAAATTCTAATTAATATATTTATTTTGCCTATGACTTCTTCCTCGCCGTTTCCGTCTTGACTGCTGAAGGTTACATGCGATGATTTCCTCTTGCGACCTCTTTTTGCTCACACAACATGTATTCCTTCTTAAATCGAACAATTAATGTTTTAACTATATGTAGTTAGCTTTTCTCGTGCTTTTTATGAGAGTGTGTAAAATGATATAATTGCAATAAAGTTGTTTATATCATAGATCAGAACAAAGCCTCATGACCAATCGGTCGAAAAAAAGGTAAAAAAAAAAACAAAAAAACAAGGTGCACGTAATTTTATTCATCGTAGTTCTGACACCACAGGTTGCCTGCTCGAAGATGCGAAATATCCATAAACTATATTCTCTCTCTTATCACGAGTTTTGAAGCTGCTTGTAAAAAGCAAGTTTCGCAAGGGGGGAAACATATTTACACTAAAATCGAACTTGGAAAGATTCAAAACAGGCTATAGGTTTTTAATCCGCCGACTGAAGGACCTTTGATTGGTGGAACCATGCATAGCACTTTCTCAGTTGCTAAAAAACTGATTTCTGAGCGAAACTGTAAGAGACTCTCGCGTTCTTAGACTGGCATAGTATCTATCAGAATTCACAAACAGATCCCAATCTCGGAATGCAAACAGACAACAATGTTTTCATAAGATTATACAGTCCACACACGCTCTCGACTTGAAGGAATAATCCATTTTTAAATCTTAAATCTATTCTTAACCTATGAACCGTCTGTCAAGAATTATTCCGGTATGTTATCTGTGCCCCAGAAATTTCAAATTTGCATGTAATCTTGCTCTGTTCCCTCAGATTCTTGATGAACTACCTTGACATTACACTGACATAACAAAAGAACGCAAACATTACAGCACAGAATAGACGAATCGTTCTTTATTCATGGTGCGACCCTGTTGAAATTATGGTAACTGAAACAAACTAGTATCCTCTAAAAACATAACCTTTGTTAGAGTGTGATCCGATGAAAATTATTTTTTACTAGTTTATTCTAGATCATCGGCCTAAATTACTAACATGTGTATTTGGTGAAATATTCTATCGCAACAGAAGGTTTGGATCAGCACATACGGATTATCACCAGATTGGCACGTTGTATGTAAATTACTAGCCGACCACAGGCCAAACACAACATACAAACTATTTTAAGAGTCACTTAAACATGTGATTGCTCATGCATTTCCTACGTAAACAGAGAGCTTTTAGCCCTCAAGAAGTTTTAAATGTTTTTGTAGCCATCTAACTGTGGAGACGGTTTCCGTTTAAGACCGCGTGTCGTGGTGGAATTCAAAACCGTGAAGCGGCGTTGAAATACTTTTGACGCTGAAAAGCGAACAACGCCGCTGAACGCAGGTTTTCTCTTCAAAGGAACATGAATTACTTTTGGAAATCTGTTCGCGCCGTGAGCTTTTTGCTTACGTGTTTTGCTGCCAATTCCTCGATGTTGGATGCCACGAAGACACTGTATATAGGAGGTTTGTTTCCAATGAGTGGTTCATCCGTAGCTTCAGCAGGAAAAATATTTCTTCCTGTAAGCGAACTGGCAATTGATATGGTGAACAACCGCACCGATTTGTTAAATGGCTACCAACTAAAGCTCATATGGAATGATACACAGGTATTCAAAATCATTTTTCGTCTGTTCGTTACATTTCAGAGTAATGTCACTATAACTTAAATTAATTGGTTTCTTAACAACTTTCGAAGTACTACAACTTCATATTTGCGCGAGATTTTCAGACACAGGCAAAACCATTTACAATTCCTTGAGTACTGTGGGAAGTTTGGTATGACCTCTGATGACATTTTACATCACAGCGCTGACAGCCTAAGTGTAAAGGATAAGTCAAATACTTCAGAATTATATTGTGTCCTGTCTCTTCCGTAAAAATCGCCTCCCTATAAAATCATTTCTTTCCTTGCGAAAAGTCGGTGTTGAAAATTCCAAATGTTTTCGTTTTGAAATCGACAAGTTGTTTGATCAAAAAAATTCCTTTGATTACGCACACGTAAATAAACAACTATTATTCCATTTAAAAAGAAATTTAGCTTCCCGAAATAATATAAGATACAACCTCAACAAAAGAACAATGAGGAGTGATACATGGAGATTACACGTGATTTTCTAAAAAAAAAAGGTTTGGATCAGAATAAGCGTAAACTTGAACAGATTTTTGTTTTCAGGGCATGAAAGTCCTATATTTTTTAACGCATTTCAAAGTGTAACAATTGCCTATTACGACTCCCAGAAAAAAGCTTGCCAAGGGAACAATAAGTCCGTATTCAATAGTGTCGAAATGCCTAATTTTAAGGAACTTTGTTTGAAAGAAACTTTTCAGGCCTTGAATTCTTAGTCGAGACATTTTATTCTTTTTGTAAACAGAACGTGACCATAAGATTTACTTGCGGCAAGCGCTTCTTAAATATCACTTCCGTTAGTTCGCCCTGGGCTTTTCATGAACTTTTTCGAAAGCACGTCATAATTTGCCGACCTTTTCCTTACGCCCTTATAATTCTTTATGATTATACGCAAATTTCACTTGACAGACAAAACTTTTTGCTAGTTTGGTGAACTCATTTTAAGGAAAATAAGCAAAGTGTTGTTACCAAAGTTATCTTTGGCCGCCATTAAAGGAACACTGTTGAAATAAGGACACTCAATTGAATTAAACTTTTGATTGTCATTTTTAACATGGCTTCTGTAACGCCCATTTCTCGCCAACTGGTTTTCACTCTTGACGAGACCCTTATTAAAACCGCCAACAAACTCTGCATTTCAACGAAAATCGAGGTGCTGAATCAATTTTATCATCTCTTATCAGTGAAAATGTTCATTAACTGTCTCATAAAAAATAGCAGGCTTTAATCTCGCTTTTGTATTTTTTAATTATAAAGTAGAAGATTATTGTAAATACAGTTCGATTGCTGTTGACATTCGAAGGCCGCTCTCGGTCTCCGCTGGTTTGGGTAAAAAATTATTGATTCATTCTAAAGTTTGCAATTAAACTCAAAGGAAAATCCCTGCGTATCAAATTTGATATTTCCTTCTTCAACAGAATGGTCAGATTACGTTGATAGTCCAGCGAATAACCAATTTGTCCACTTGAAAATCTGCGCAGCCCTCTAGTTTTGCGTGAAAAATTTATTGACCCAATCTGCCGTTTTATTCATCCAACTCACGGTTATCGTCTATGTTAGTGTCAGGGCTTAACGTTATTGATTTTGATGTCCACTAATATCGCAAAATGCGTCATCATAACCTTTGTTTAGAAATTGCGAGACAGTTATTGTACAAAAGGCTCTCAGAATTGAAAGCTTTTCTACATACCAAGTATTGACTAGTTCATCATAATGATATCAACGCAATCTGTTTTCCGTAATTCTTCACGAATTTGAGCCGATGAGTCGAATTTCATAACTTTTTAAAGGTGATTAAGTAGCGAAGTAGCGGCTCCCTTTTTCCACCTTTTTGCCGTTTCGTAGTTCTAAAGTAATTTTGACGTTGATGTTTTAATTCAAAATATTCTTTTCAAACTTAATTGCTTTCAACATTAGCAGAATGGCAAAATGTTTGTACTTTTATTTATAACCAAGTTAGCAGACTGAAAAAACTAGAAAAATTTTCACCTGGTTAATAAATGATTCCCTTCGCGGAAGTTCGCTGAAATCCGTGATTAAAAATTTATAGTTTAATTTTCTCTACTAGAAATTGCCAAAGATTTTGGTGAAACGTAACAGAAGCCAACAAGTATTCACTGATATAACGGTCTCATTCGGAAAGTAATTAACAATTAACCATTAGCAAAGGAATGTTATCTTTTTACATCAATGTTCTTTGCAAAATCACGCGAACGTCGAATTTGAATGACTCAGCATGTTTAAAATTCCATTTTTTCTTTGTCCTGAGATTAAAAGTAAATTGCAACAATCTTCACCGCACTTCACTCAACTTGACCCCAAACCTCTTGCTGTGAAAATGCGATCCGTATATTTTTTTTGGCACGAGTCAGGCCGCTGGATGTCAGTCTCCTGTGTTGTGATGAGTCATCTCCCGCTGTTACCTGGTTGTAATCAGCTCTTCGATCAATTCATCAAGTTTCATCATCGCTTTCTCTGATCGGATGTCTAAAAAGTCAAAACCGACAGGCGGTAACTCCATACTTAGTTTGCGTGCCATTTATTGTCGGTGAAAAACATTTCAAAATTTGCCTGAAGCACTATAGTGTTTGTCGTTAAATCAACGCCAATGTGAAAAAAGCTGTCTATCAGGACAGCGGTAACTATCACAAGGAGCCCAAAGTAAAAACAAACAAACTTTGCAAAGCGCGGGAAAACGTGTGTGACCAATTCACGATTGTTTTTTAGTGTTGTATCTGATTGGTTGAGAAGGAAAAGCGAGGTTTTCACAACAATATGAAATTCTGAATTACTTGCGACTCCGACTTTGGTGAAAGAAAAGGCTATTACGGTTCATAGCGTTATTTCATCTCATAGCTGGCAATACCTCGTGTTTCATGCAACTTAAAAAGCTAAGAGCAAGAGGCGGGTAAGAAATGATAAGAAAGTCTAAAAAACGTGTCGCTGCAGTTTTTTTTCTGCGCTGTTTGATGCTATACTTTTTCCGACTTGCGGATAAAGCGATGTCCAGAAATGGATGACATTTCGACGATAAGATTCTAAAATTTGATTTATTTTCTGATTGATTTCATTTCAGTGTGACCCAGGGCATGCAACAAACGCGCTGTTTGAGTCCCTCCATACCAGGCCCCCTATGATAATGCTCCTGGGAGCCGCGTGTTCATCAGTGACCCGAGCCACACCACAGATCGGCAATCTCTGGAACCTTGTACAGGTAAATATTCCGGCATATTCCGAGAGGAATATGCCAGATAGCTTGTGGAAATTACAATAATTGTGCCTGAAACAATTCCTAATAAAATCTAGAGGTAAATTTCTACGAATCAACTCCTAAATGCAGAGGTGTGTTTGCTAAATCTACCAATAAAGGCGTCAGAACTATCTTCATCTGGAGTCTTTCCCTAAGAGGAGACAGACGGAAAAGTCTTATTTGGCATTCAGAACAAGGAAATTCCACCTGTTGTTTCGAAGAGGAGCGCTATTTTTTTTCTTAATTCAGTGTTCGAAGGTCGTGCACATGTAAGCGTTGTTGTGCTGATAACACTGAATTTGTTTACTATTCTAAGTCGTACTCCCGTAGGTAATCTATTGTTTGGCCATTGTGTTTTTTTTTTTTTTATCCGAATACTGTATGCATAATAAGTAAGGGGCTTTACGGAAATGTGGCCATTTTTGTCTTGGATAGAAGAGATCTCCAGTTTGAAAAACATCAAAACACCAGCTTTGAGTCTTACACCTCAGTTAACATATAAATGTGAAGCCGCGAGGAAGAAAATAATGTGAGAAGAGAAAACGTGATAGAAATTCAGGAACAGTTCACGAGTCAAATCACATTCACTTTTTATTTTGATTGACAGGTATCATACGCCTCCACTGCCAGCGATCTGTCCAATAAGGATAAGTATCCGATGCTGTACAACATTGTACCACCTGACTCTGCCTATAACAACGCAAGGATAGCTTTCTTAAAGCACTTCAAGTGGAAGAGAATCGCTACTATTCGACAAAATAATTACGTCTTTGACGAGGTAACTTATCGATCAAATAGAGACAATTGGCGACATGTAAATGAACCAAAGTGGGATGACATAAGTAAATGCATCGTTTATTCTTTAACATCAGAACCCATATTCTCCCACTTGTACTCTGTATATTTCCTTCGGTACCGACAAGGAGAATCTTTTTAACAATCAAGAGTTTTGTCGGTTCGGAGGGGTTAATTTAGGCATCAATCATCAATCAATCAATCAAAGTTTATTGTCTAACGTGAGGCATGGTTGCCCAATTGCCCGAGCCAGAGGCTCATGTATAAAACGGTAGACTATAAATTAACTATAATTAAAGGTATATTATTAGAAGTACTTAAAACTTTATAGGTAAAAATATATAAGTTTAGAGTACGAGTGATAATTGTAAAATTGTAGGTGATTAATATTGATAGTTAAAAGAGTCTAAACATTATGTTCGGTGAAAGATATTGCAGTAGATGAATATGAATAAGAATGACAATGTATGTGTACGTACAATAAAAGTCAACTACATGTATTACATTTACAGATTGGTCCTAGAGTGCTAAAATCGAAATTCTTAAGTTTACTACAAAAATCGCTAAGCGTAGATGCTGTTTTAATTTCTCTTGGTAAACTGTTCCAAAGGTGACTTGCTTTATATGTAAAGGAATTATGATACGATCTATTATTATACCCTGGTTGCACTAGATTTACACCTTTATTCCTTAAACTATTCCTTAAAGGCATATTTAATACTTGAACATTCTTTTTTTAAGGCAGGACGATAGGGGTGGGAATGTAAACGCCTAAATCCTAAAATATCCAGTCTGAGTAGAGATAAGAGGAACGTTAAATTTACGGTTGTGGGTTCGCGTGATAACTTTGCTTTTTCGTTGTGTACACTAAGTATAACATGTTTAAAGCGTTTAAATCAAAATAATTTCTTTCAGGTTATGGACATGCTCCAAGAAGATCTTATAAACAACAACTTTGATCTTATAGCCACAGAACTGTTTGATGACGATCCTAAGACTCAGGTTGAAAATCTAAAGGTAAGTTTTTCTGAGAAGAAATCGAGAGTTACTCAGCTACAATTAACTTAAATACGAAGATTTTTCATTGAATGTGTGTTAACGTCAACAGAAGAGAGACGCCCGCATCATTATTGGGATGTTTTATGAAGATAAAGCTCGAAAAGTTTTTTGCGAGGTATAGTAAGTCACAAATAATTTTTTCAGTTTTATACTTTATAGAGGGGTTAATCTGCAAACACCACTCCCCACATGTTGTATGATATCACCGTTTCGGGTAACATGGGTGGAACTCAGACACGGACGGCACAAATTATTCAATGGGCAATGTAAACTGTCTGCATGATGGGGAGAAAGGAAATGTTTCTTGTGTGTCTACATGAAGAAACTCCCGAGCGTGTTGCAACACGAATGGAAATCTAACAAAGCAGAATACTTTTAACTTGCTAAGAAACTGTTCAGCGCATACAAATTTTTCGGCGCAAACACTGAGAGTTGATTGCAAATTCGTTTGAGTTAACGTGAAATACACCACTTCTAATCCCACCAAGAAATGTTACAACAAATTTAAGGGCCAGCGGTCCATCCGCATACTAGGCTTCAGTCCCCTCGCGTTGGTATTTACATTTTGAGTGTTCGCGCGATGTTATGTAGTTTGTCCTCGTATGTTCTTTATGCAGCATCTCATGTCCGTTCAGATATTCAAACCGTCAGGTATGTTTTACGTTGCCATTTCGCCGATTTTATTTCGTTCTGTAGTCGTTTTATCGTCGGTACTTAGCTTAAGTGTAATTTAACAAAATTCTGTGTAAGAAACAACTGGTTGCAAGTAAAGTGAATGGTTCATGTAACCGTTTTGAAATGTTGCTGGTGCTTTCGTTACAATATCCATGCTACAGACTAACAGATCCTGTATAAACAGGCGCAAGTAAGTGCGGTTAATTGTATAGGTTCGAACTTGCATTGCAACGCGTCCAGTCACAATCTTATTTACCAAAGTTGCCTCATATTGAGCCTGTTTTGTAACCTACTTGACGCATTCTTTGGTTTAGGCGCGCAAACAAGGTATGTATGGAGAGCACTACATGTGGCTAATAATGGACTGGTACGACAGCAAACCATGGTGGCTTGTTAACGATGACGAAATTGATTGCACAGAAGAACAGATGAGAGCGGCGACTAAGGGCTACTTTTCCGTTGAGAGCACTCGAATTGTTTCCAACGAGGAACCCACGATATCGGGAATGGTGAGTTAAATAGGGTGTTAGGGTTATGATGTGGCATTTGAATCGGACGAAAGTGTCTGTAATCGGACGGAAGGATCGGAGGTGGGCAGGAAATGTCCGTAAATGTCCGAAATCGGTCGAAAGTGTCCGAATCGGACGTCAGAAGTGTCTGAAGTCAGACAGAGTTGACTGAAATCAGACTCAAAGACGTAACGTGCTGAAAAATGTAAAATTGATTGATTGATTCGTTGATTCGTTGACTGACTTAGCCATTAATCTATCAATTGATTGATCGATCGGCGGATGTCTAAATTTCCGCCTAAATTAACTGAGGAATTTTCATCATGCTGCAGACCTCCGCGAAGTTCCTACAGTCTTATGTCAAGCCAGGTGAAAACAACACGAATCTTTACGTTCCGTTCGTGTTTGACTCCGTGTGGACGATTGCTCTCACATTGAACAAGTCTTCGAGCGAAATCCGCAAAACTTTGAACAGATCTCTAGACGACTTTACCTACCGAGACAGTGGTATGGCAGAAACTTTCAAGAAAACTTTGGAAAATTTGGAATTCCAAGGAATTACGGTAGTGAGAAAGTGATATTTTTCTAATTTTAGCCTTGACCTTCCGCGAGTTCTCTTTCCTTTCCTCGCTTTGATTGAAAAACTGAATGCTTCGTGTTTTGACTGAATCGGAGACAAGACGTATGTTCATTCTTGACATCTGTTTCTGTGATAGAAAAGTAATCAATCACCAACCTTAATCTTCACCTCAGCTCATCGGAGAGGAGATTACTTGTCAGTCCACTGTTCACAAATCAAAGGGAATGTTATCCTCAATTTCAACAACAATCGTTGATTTTCAGGCTGAAAAGTAGTTCAAACAAGCAGGGGTTATGGTATTTGTTACGACTAGTGAATTTACTGGCAATTAACTCGTTTAAATATGTTTATTTCGTAGGGAAAAGTGACGTTTTCAAGAAAAGGGGGAAGAACAGAGCCCGCGTACATCAAACAGATGCAAAGTAAGTTAATTCATTGAATCGAATTTTCTATACTTTACAAATTCAGCCACCAGATCTTAAATGCAGGAAAAGGTGCCAAGAATTGCATCCTTTAATGTATCAATGCTTTTATAAAGGCTGATAGTTTCGAAAGAAACTGTTTGGGGCTGCGTCGGTGGGAGTAACGAAATAATTTGGATATATCAACAAAGTTGAAATGGTAAATTGGCCACCGTAACGATTACAAAAGCTGACGTTTCGAGCGTTAGCCCTTCGTCGGAACCTAACCCTAAAAAAAAAAAAAAAAGCGAATGCTTTTATAGCCTATCACCGGTCTCCTATAGCTCAGTGGTAGAGTATCCGAAGAATTAAACAGAAGGACATATGTTCATGTGCACCCGTGTCACTAACGAAATTTGAGGGATATAAAATAGTAGCCAATTTGCGATTTTGTACGATTTGGCCGATTCGGGATTTTTGGCCACTAGTGGCCGATTTTCCACTTTGGCCACTGAAGGCCAATTTAACAGTTTTGCCACTAGTGGCAGATTTCACGTTTTGGCCACTAGTAGCCGATTTGACATTTCAGCAGGTTGTGACCGATTTGGAATTTTAGCCACTTGTGTTCGATTAGGCATTTTGATCATTAGTGGCCATTTTGGCATTTAACCACCGGTGGCCGATTTAGCGTTTTTGCCAGAAGTCACCGTTTAGGCATTTTTGGCCACAAGTGGCCGATTTGCCATTTTTGCCACAGATTTGGCGTTTTCGCCACTAACGGCCGATTTAGCACTTTGGCCGCTGGTAGCCGATATGGCATTTTGGCCAATAGAGGCTGATTTGGCAGTTTGGCCTCAAGTGCCCGTTTTGACATTTCGGCCACTAGTGACTGATTTGGCGTTTTGGCCGCTAATGGCCCTTTTGGCATTTTGGATACACAGGAGCCGATTTCGATTTTGAATGCCACTAGTCGCCGTTTTGGCTTTTAAGCCACTAAAGGCTGATTTGGCATTTTCGCCACTAGTAGTCGAATTAGCATTTTGGCTATTAGTGCCCGATTTGGCATTTTGGTCAATAGTGACCGATTTGAGATTTTGGCCATTACTGGTCGATTTGGCAATTGGGGCCATTAGTGACCGATCTGGCATTTTGGCCACTGGCATTTTGGCCAAGAGTGGCAAACTAAGTATTCTGGCCACTACACACTACTGGCAAATTTGGCATTTTGGCCACTAGTGGCCAATTTAGAATTTTAGCCACTGGTGGCTGATATGGTGTTTTGACCACTAATGGCCTATTTAGCATTTTCGCCACAAGTGGCCGATTTTCTCCACTGGTGGCCAATTTGGCGTTTGGGCCATTAAGTGGCCTATTTGGCATTTTAACCATTAGTGGAAGATTTCGCGTTTTGGCCGCTAGTTAAAGATTCGGCATCTTTCCCACTGAAGGCAGATTAGGCGATTTGGCCAGATTTGGCATTTTCGTCATTAGTGGCATATTTGGCGTTTTGCATGGGCACTGGTGGTCGATTTGACATTTTGGCCACTGATGGCCAACTTAACATTTTGGCCACCGGTGGCAGATTTGGCATTTCGGCCAGTAGTGGCCCATTTGGCAATTTGGCACACTCTTTCCACTGCTTTGTGTAAATTCATGTATAGTTAGAACTCTCTTCTTTTTTCTTTCTACTTTTTCTCTTTCTCGTTGTTGTATTTTTAGCAGAATAAGCGTGAATAAAGAATGAATTTTGCCACTAATAACCGATTAGGCATTTTCGCCACTAGTGAACGATATGGCATATGCGCCACTAGGTAGGTTTAAAGCTGATTTGGCGCTCTGGCCACTATAAGCTGTTTTGGGGTTTTAGCCACTACTGGCTGACTTGACCTTTTGGCCACTACTAGCCGTTTTGGCATTTTCGTCAGTAGTGGCAGATTTGGCGCTTTGGCCACTAGTGCTTATTCTCGCATTTCTTCCACAAGTGGCAGATTTGACGTGTAAGCAACTAAAAAACCGATTCCACATTTCCGCCACTAGTAACCGATTTGGCATATGCACCATTAGTGACAGTTTGGAGTTTTGACCACAAGTGGCAGATTTGACATTTTTCCCACTAGTAGCAGATTTGGCGTTTTGGCCACTAGTGGCCGATTTCATGTTTTGTCCACTAGTGGCAAATTTGCCATTTTGTCCACTAGTGGCAGATCTCCCATTCTCTCCACTAGTGGCACACTTGACACTCTTTCTGCAAGTGGAAGATTTGGTCCACTTGTGGCATTTTGTCTACTAGTGGCCATTTTGATATTTTGTCCACTAGTGGCAGATTTGGTATTTTGTCCACTAGGGGCAGATTTGGCATTTTGTCCACTAGTGGCCGTTTTCTCACATGTCCACTAATAGCATGTTTGGCATTTTGTCAACTAGTGGCATGTTTGGCATTTTGTCCACTGGTGGCACATTTGGCATTTTGTCCACTAGTGGCTGTTTTGGCATTTTGTCCATTAGTGGCAGATTTGGCATTTTGTCCACTGGTGGCAGATTTCGCATTTTGTCCCCTTGTGGCAGATTTGGCACTTTGTCCACTTGTGGCAGATTTGACACTCTTTCCACAAGTGGAAGATTTGGTCCACTTGTGGCATTTTGTCTACTAGTGGCCATTTTGATATTTTGTCCACTAGTGGCAGATTTGACATTTTGTCCACTAGTGGCAGATTTGGTATTTTGTCCACTAGTGGCCGTTTTCGCATTTTGTCCGCTAGTGGCAGATTTGGCATTTTGTCCACTAGTTGCCGTTTTGACATTTTTTCCACTGGTAGCAGATTTAGCATTTTGTCCACTAGTGGCCGTTTTGCATTTTGTCCACTAGTGGCATATTTGGCATTTTGTCCACTACTCGCATATTTGGCATTTTTTCCACTACTGGCAGATTTTGCATTTTGTCCGGATGTCCGCTAGGGGCAGATTTGGCATTTTGTCCACTAGTAGTCTTTTTTACACTTTATAATAATTTGGATATATCAATAAAGTTGAAGTGGTAAATTGGCCACCGTAACGATTCCAAAAGCTGACGTTTCGAGCGTTAGCCCTTCGTCGGAGCGAATAGAGGAATTGTGGGTTGTGTGTGCTTTTAAAGGCAGAGAATGGAGCTACGTTATTGGTGGGAACATGGCAACGAGAAAAACAAGAATAAATTAGTGGAATGAAAAGCGTTCGTTGATCCCTGTGGGATTTAGACTGCCGGTTTGAAAGATGAGCTTTTGTTCAAGATTTTTACGGCTTTCCGTGCTACCTAAGTGTAAGGAAAGACCGCAGATTGCCATATGTTGCTTAGAATGATTAGGTAAATTAAAATGTCTAGCGACTGGTTTCGATGTGTCCTTGTCATTCCTTTCCACGTCTCGAAGGTGTTCTCGGAATCGGTCACCTAGTCTTCTACCTGTTTCGCCGATGTATATCTTTTTGCAATAAGTGCAAGTTATGCAATAGATTACATTGGCAGAGGTGCACTTTGTCTACTAGTGGCATATTTGGCATTTTGTCCACTAGTTGCATATTTGATATTTTTTCCACTAGTGGCAGATTTGGCATTTTGTCCACCAGTGGCTAATTTGGCATTTTGTCCACTACTAGCTGTTTTCACATTTTGTCCACTTCTGGCAGATTTGACATTTTGTCCAGTTCTGGCAGATTTGGCATTTTGTCCACTAGTGGCAGATTTGGCATTATGTCCAGTTGTGGCAGATTAGGTATTTTGTCCACTAGTGGCAGATTTGGCATTTTTTCCACCAGTGGCTAATTCAGCATTTTGTCCACTACTAGCTGTTTTCACATTTTGTCCACTTTTGGCAGATTTGGCATTTTGTCCACTAGATGGCAGATTTGGCAGTTTGTCCAGTTGTGGCAGATTAGGCATTTTGTTCACTTGTGGGAGATTTGGCATTTTATCCACCATTGGCAGATTAGGCATTTTCTCTACTTGGGGCAGATTTGGCATTTTGTACACTAGTGGCAGATTCGGCATTTCTCCTTTTGGCAGATTTGGCATTTTGCCTAATAGAGGCAGATTTGGAATTTTGTCCACTAATGGCAGATTTGCTATTTCCACTAGCGACTGTTTTGGCACTTTGTCCACCATTGGCAAATTTTGCATTTTGTCCACTAGTGGCAGATTTGGCATTTTATTCACTAAAAGCATATTTGGCAGTTTGTCCACTTGTGGCAGATTTGGCATTGTGTCCACTTGTGGCAGATTTGGCATTTTATCCACTTGTGGCCGATTTGCCGTTTGGGCCACTAGCGACTAACTTGCCATTCTGGTCACTAGTGGCAAATCTGGCGGTTTGGTTACTATTGCCATTAGTGGCCAATGTGGCATTTTGGCCACTAGTGGCCGTTTGCATTTTGTTGGCTAGTTGCGGATTTGGCGTTTTGGTTACTAGTGGCTGATTTGGCATTTTGGGCCCGAGTGGGGGATTTGACCTTTTGGCCAGTGGTGGCTGATTTGGCATTTCGGCAATTAGCGGTTCATTTTCCAACTTTGCCAGTAGTGGCTGATTTGCTGTTTAGGCCATTAGTGGCCGACAGTTGGCATTTTGGCCACTATTACAGTCAAACTAAGTGAAGCGTACCCCTTAAGATTACATTAATGAATTGATCATTTGGATATTGAACCCGCCAGTCGTTTTAAGAATGCAATAATGAATTGACTATCTGATTATTGAACCCGCTAGCCGTTTCACGAATAATGGATTGATTATTTGAATATTGAACCCGATAGCCGTATCCGTTTTGAAAAGGCGCGGATCATTGTTCAAATTAGAAGTCCATTTCTGAAGTCCAATAAGATTGTTCTATTTGACGAGGAATCCTG